TGTGAGCCAAAATCATCACAATTAAAAGAACCAAAGGCTTAAACTACTTCAGTCTGTGTGCATTGAATTTATTTAATACACGAGTTTTACAATTTGAGTTGAATTACTGAAATAAATGAACTTTTCCACGACATTCTAATTTATTGCGATGCACCTGTATATAAATAAATATATCATGAAATATATTGTTACTGTGAAATAAAATTATTCATACCGTGAAACAGAATTTTGGTCATACCACCCACCCCTTCTTTGGGCCACTTGGGTGTAATTTTTACACTTGATTTAATTTTTTTTAATAATCTGTGAACTGTTACAAATTGTTAGAGACCTCAGTTTCTCTAGTTGACAGTTTGGACTCTTCAGTCCATCAGAGAGAAGCTTCACTCCTGAATCCTGCAAGTCATTGTTACTCAGGTCCAGCTCTCTCAGGACAGAGTTTGATGATTGTAGAGCTGAGGCCACGATTTCACAAGATTTATCAGTGAGATTACAATCAGCAAGACTATAAGAGAGCAAAACACAATTCAAATTAGATCTACAAACAACTGCGTAAGGTAGTTCAAATATAAGTCGAATAATCTTTTCCTTAAGCCTGTATCTCACTAGCCCACTCAAAAACTTGATAATGGTCAAGGGTGGCATATGTATTGACTGTTTATCTTCAAATAAAACTCCCTTGTGTCATGGCCAACTCCCTCTGATTTTCCAAGAACTATATTAAGTCTAGTCTAGTTTTGCCAGAAAAATAAAAAATCTGCAAAGTTGTAAAAATATCAAGTTATAAACATCAATCAGAAGACACATCATTCATTATCTTAAGTAAAAGAAGAATTTAACACTCACAGAGCTTTTCTGCAGTTTTTCACAGCTGGTAAGAGTTTTCTGCGACCTTCTTCTGATGTATTAAATTTCTTGGGATCAAGTTCCTCCAGCACATCTTCTGACATCTGATACATGTAGGCGATTGTTGAGCAAAGTGCAGAAGAGAGTTTCTTCTCTGAGTGTTTGTCTGATTTCAGAAACTCCTGGATCTCTCTGTGCAGAGTCTGATCTTTCATTTCAAAGAGACAAAGAAAAAGATTGATGGATCTGTCAGCTGAAAGGTTATGTCCAAGTTTAATTTTGTCTTTAATATAAGCAGTTGTTTTCTCAATGCTCCTTGAGCAGCTGTGAGTGTTGGTCAGTAGATCCTGTAAGAGTTTCTGATTGGAGTCCAGTGAGATGCCCAGCAGGAACCGGAGAAAAAGATCCAGGTGTCCATTTTCGCTTTCTAAGGCTTTATCTACTGCTCCTCTGAGCAAATTATGCAGGGAATCAAAAAACCTTAGTTCCTCCACAGTGTTAATTACATAACAATAGAACACATAAATAGCAGCAAGAAACTCCTGAAAGCTCAGATGTATGAAGCAGTAGACTTTCCTCTGATGAATCACTGATTCATCCTTAAATATCTCGGTGCAAATCCCAGAATACACTGAGGCGTCGATGACATCTATGTCGCACTCTTTCAGATCCTCCTCATAGAACATGATATTGCCTTTCTTCAGCTGTTTGAAAGCCAGTTCAGCAAGTTTCAAAATCACGTCTCTGTTGGACTGCCAGTGTTTTCCAGGATCTCTCTCATCATACTTCTGATTCCTTAGGTTTATCTGAATGAGCAGAAAGTGGATGTACATTTCAGTCAGAGTTTGAGGGATTTCTGCACTGTCATCTTGTTCCAGGATGTTCTGAAGCACAGTGGATGAGATCCAGCAGAAGACCGGTATGTGGCACATGATGTGGAGGCTTCTTGATCTTATGATGTGTGAGATGATTCTGCTGGCTTGATGCTGATCACTGATCCTCTTCCTGAAATATTCCTCCTTCTGAGGGTCATTGAATCCCTGAATTTCAGTCACCCGGTTGATGTATTTTGAAGGGATTTGATTGGCTGCTGCTGGTCTGGAGGTGATCCAGATGTGAGCAGAGGGAAGCAGCTCTCCTCTGATGATGTTTGACATCAATACACCAACTGATGAAGACTTATTTATATCAGAAACCACCTCACTGTCTGAAAACCTTAGTGTAATTCGGCTTTCATCCAGACCATCGAAGATGAACACAACTTTACATTCATCATAAATCTTTGAGTCCAGATCTTGAAGTTCAGGATGAAAGTCCAGCAGAAGTCTGTGAAGATTGTACTGATGATTTCGGATCAAGTTCAGCTCTCGAAATGGAAGCACAAACATGGGATTTGAGTGAATGTTGTGTTCTGGCTGTTTTCTCCATCCGTAACACTTCATGTTCCTCATTCACCCCTCACCCCTTCCCCTCTATGATACAAAGCTGTGTGTAGATCCTGTTAAGGAGTGTTTGATTCTCCTGTAGTTTGATTCCCTCAAATAAGCACTCATACTTGTTCCTCATGCTGGTTTTGTGTTTCTCTTTGACTCTCTGCAGGACATCGTCCACCAGAGAATCCTGCTGCAGGTTTGTGTAACAGAGAGCAGAACTGGATCCTCCCGAGACTTTATATGTTTGTAGAACAGGACGTATTATAGACCTCTTCTTGCATTGAGGGCAGTCAAAGTCTTCTGATTGACTGAACTTATCCCAGTAGCAGCTGATACACTGTCTGCAGAAACTATGTTTACAGGTAATTGAGACTGGATCTCTCAGAACCTGCTCACACACTCCACATCTGGAAAAAACCTGCAACAAACACCTGCAGAGAGATCTCAGATGTGAATCAAGACTGCATTTGAAACAAAAGATGTTAGAAAGTGGAGGACTGTTAGAAACTAACAGTCCTCCACTTGAGCACTCTATATCGTCTGCCCGAGGGGAGGAGTTCAAATTCTGAGTACAAAATGTGAGATGTATCATCTAAGATAGTCAAAGACTTCCTAAGGACATTTTTCTCACACAAAGCAGATACCCCCAACTGTACCGAGCCTGTAATCTTTGACCCCAGATTAACAATTCTCTGCATCTGGGATCTACTTTTAACATTTAGTCCATAAAACCAACAAATCATAGCAAAAGTCAAGACAGTTTCAATAAAAGATCTATAAAACATTATCAAAATAGATTTATCCACATAAAAGCACTTAAGCTTCCTCAGTAAATATAACTGTTTTTGTGTCTTTGATACAACAAGGTTTGTGTTTTCCACCCAGCTTAGCTTATCGTCAATAACTGTACCCAAGTACTTGTATGAGTTGACCTTCTCAACTTCTTTACCTGCAATAACTATTTTAGATATCAACAGAGTTATAACGTTCTATCGTCATGTCTTTAGTCTTGGAAACATTCATTTGTAAATAAGAACTCTCACACCAATCCAAAAAATAGTTCAGAATGGGCCCATGCTCTGTATCACCCTGTTTTAACAGGCATAGCACCACTGTATCGTCGGCATATTTTATAATGTGTCTGCCTGGATACTGACTTCTGCAACTATCCGTATGTAAAATAAATAAAAGAGGTGAGAGAATACAACCTTGGGGGCAACCCACTGAGGAATAAAGCTCCTGGGAATATTCTCTATTTACACGTAATATTTGAGATCTTCTGGTCAGAAAATCTAAAATCCAGGCCACCAAGCCCTTAGGAACATCAAATTCAGACAACAAAAGTTCAGCTAAAAGAAGTGGTTGAATAGTATTAAATGCGGATGCAAAATCTATAAATTCTATGGCTTCTATTCTTCTATGGCTGCTTTAGAATGATGTGTGTTATAAAATCACAAAAATTAATTGAAAAATAAATGTGCATGCAGTTTGCTTGTCAGCGAGAGAACTTACATTTCCGCAGTCCTGGTGTGATTCTGAAGGACTCTCCATGGTCAAAACTAAACAGTACAGAAAAAGACATGTAAAAATGGTCTTGGAAAGACAGATACATTATGGGAGGTGAATTAAAGTCCTAAAATTCATAAGATTTACAAATTTATGTTGTACTAAGGGAGGAGCACTGAATTGAATTCTTTATTGTCCAGCCAGATCTTTTAGTGAAATTTACTTAGAATTCTTGACAACATATACTTTGTGACAGTATACATTTGTTTTCAGCATTAAGCATCATGTAATTTATGTAATTTCAACTCTGTGGAAAGTAATGTAATATCTGGTAACAGTTTTTGGACTAAGCTACCAGACATCAACATTTTTGGGGAAAAATAACTCTTGGCACAAAAACTTTGTATGTAAAATGTCTGTGTAGTCATTAGGCTGCTGAATTCATTGCATGTGCTTGCTCAAGGGAAAATACAACAAAATAATAATCAAATAGTATGCTTTTATATCATACATTATAACACATACACATCTAAATTATATGATTTTAGGTCTACATACTTAAGTATCTCCAGTATGCAGTTTGGATGGTTCAGTCGATCAGAGAGCATCTTTACTCCGGAGTGTCCAGGGTGATTGTAGCTGAGATCCAGCTCTCTCAGGTGTGAGGGGTTGGAACTCAGAGCTGAGGCCAGACAATAACAGCCTTCCTCTGTCACCATACAGCCAGACAATCTACAAACATGCATATCAACAGTCAGATAACTTACAAACACACATTGTTTTTAGAACAGTTTACACACAGTATCAGACAAGATTCTATTAAAAGTGAATTGTATCTTTGCACATACTGCTAGAACTATATGGGACATTTGGGTGTAATTTTTACACTGGATTTATTTATTTTAATAATCTGTGAACTGTTAAATTTTTTTTAGAAACCTCAGTTTCTCTAGTTGACAGTTTGGACTCTTCAGTCCATCAGAGAGAAGCTTCACTCCTGAATCCTGCAAGTCATTGTTACTCAGGTCCAGCTCTCTCAGGACAGAGTTTGATGATTGTAGAGCTGAGGCCACAATTTCACAGGATTTATCAGTGAGATTACAGTCAGCAAGACTATAAGAGAGCAAAACACAATTCAAATTAGATCTACAAACATCTGCATAAGGTAGTTCAAATGTAAGACGCAGCATTCATTAGCTTAAGTGAAAGAAGAATTTAACACTCACAGAGATTTTCTGCAGTTTTTCACAGCTGGTAAGAGTTTTTTTCCACCTTCTTCTGATGTATTAAATTTCTTGGGATCAAGTTCCTCCAGCACATCTTCTGACATCTGATACATGTAGGCGATTGTTGAGCAAAGTGCAGAAGAGAGTTTCTTCTCTGAGTGTTTGTCTGATTTCAGAAACTCCTGGATCTCTCTGTGCAGAGTCTGATCTTTCATTTCAAAGAGACAAAGAAAAAGATTGATGGATCTGTCAGCTGAAAGGTTATGTCCAAGTTTAATTTTGTCTTTAATATAAGCAGTTGTTTTCTCAATGCTCCTTGAGCAGCTGTGAGTGTTGGTCAGTAGATCCTGTAAGAGTTTCTGATTGGAGTCCAGTGAGATGCCCAGCAGGAACCGGAGGAAAAGATCCAGGTGTCCATTCTCGCTTTCTAAGGCTTTATCTACTGCTCCTCTGAGCAAATTATGCAGAGAATCAAAAAACCTTAGTACCTCCACAGTGTTAATTACATAACAATAAAACACATAAATAGCGGCAAGAAACTCCTGAAAGCTCAGATGAATGAAGCAGTAAACTTTCCTCTGATGAATCACAGATTCCTCCTTAAATATCTCTGTGCAAATCCCAGAATACACTGAAGCGTCAATGACATCTATGTCGCACTCTTTCAGATCCTCCTCATAGAACATGATATTGCCTTTCTTCAGCTGTTTGAAAGCCAGTTCAGCAAGTTTCAAAATCACGTCTCTGTTGGACTGCCAGTGTTTTCCAGGATCTCTCTCATCATACTTCTGATTCCTTAGGTTTATCTGAATGAGCAGAAAGTGGATGTACATTTCAGTCAGAGTTTGAGGGATTTCTGCACTGTCATCTTGTTCCAGGATGTTCTGAAGCACAGTGGATGAGATCCAGCAGAAGACCGGTATGTGGCACATGATGTGGAGGCTTCTTGATCTTATGATGTGTGAGATGATTCTGCTGGCTTGATGCTGATCACTGATCCTCTTCCTGAAATATTCCTCCTTCTGAGGGTCACTGAATCCCTGAATTTCTGTCACAAGGTTGATGTATGTGGAGGGGATTAGTTTGGCTGCTGCTGGTCTGGAGGTGATCCAGATGTGAGCAGAGGGAAGCAGCTCTCCTCTGATGATGTTTGACATCAATACACCAACTGATGAAGACTTATTTATATCAGAAACCACCTCACTGTCTGAAAACCTTAGTGTAATTCGGCTTTCATCCAGACCATCGAAGATGAACACAACTTTACATTCATCATAAATCTTTGAGTCCAGATCTTGAAGTTCATGAAGAAAGTCAAGCAGAATTTTGTGAATACTGTACTGATCATCTTTAATCAAGTTCAGCTCTCGAAATGGAAGCACAAACATGAAATCTACATCCTGATTGGCTTTTCCCTCAGCCCAGTCCAGAATGAACTTCTGCACAGAGACTGTTTTTCCAATTCCAGCGACTCCTTTAGTAAGAACAATCTTTATTTTGTCATCCATCTTTTTTCTCTTCCCCTCACATCCTTGTTCGGGTAAGGATTTAAAGATGTCATTACAGTGGATTTGAGTGTTTTGTGAATGTTGTGTTCTGGCTGTTTTCTCCATCCGTAACACTTCATGTTCCTCATTCACCCCTTCACTTTCTCCCTCTATGATACAAAGCTGTGTGTAGATCCTGTTAAGGAGTGTTTGATTCTCCTGTAGTTTGATTCCCTCAAATAAGCACTCATACTTGTTCCTCATGCTGGTTTTGTGTTTCTCTTTGACTCTCTGCAGGACATCGTCCACCAGAGAATCCTGCTGCAGGTTTGTGTAACAGAGAGCAGAACTGGATCCTCCCGAGACTTTATATGTTTGTAGAACAGGACGTATTATAGACCTCTTCTTGCATTGAGGGCAGTCAAAGTCTTCTGATTGACTGAACTTATCCCAGTAGCAGCTGATACACTGTCTGCAGAAACTATGTTTACAGGTAATTGAGACTGGATCTCTCAGAACCTGCTCACACACTCCACATCTGGAAAAAACCTGCAACAAACACCTGCAGAGAGATCTCAGATGTGTTATATGACATCATCAGCACTATAGGCACAAATTTTCAAGCTAATTCGCTAATCATATTCGCTAACCAATGTTGTACCAAGTTCTTCATTACACTGTTACTTTTCATTAAGACTCAACCACATGCTGATGTTGCTTTGTGAATCTGCTTACAAACAAATCATAATGTGAAAATTTGTAAGAAACCGAAACGCCTACATTTATCCTTCTGTCCTGTATAGGCTATTAAAGGGATAGTTCACCCAAAAATGAAAATTTGCTGTTAATTTAGTCACGCTCAGGCCATCCAAGAATAAGGTGACTTTTTTCTTCAGTAGAACAGTAAAGAAGATTTTTGCTGAAACCGTGATCCTTGGCGATTCATACAATGCAAGTCCGAGGCTGCCCATTTTTGAGAATAAAAAAAGCATATCAAAGAACACAAAATTAATACAGATGGCTCCTGATGATATATTAAAGGGGTCCTATTATGCTTTCTCACTTTTTCAACTTTAGTTAGTCTGTAATGTTGCTGTTTGAGCATAAAAAAGATCTGCAAAGTTATAAAGCTCAAAGTCCACTTCAAAAGGAGATATTTTATTCAACAGAAATCACTTTTCAAAAACTACAACGAACGACTCATTTGGACTACAACGCATATTTTCCGGGATTTGTGATATCACAAATATCAACGAATGGGATGAGACCTGGTTGAGCTGCACTAGAGAAGGCAACAAGTGTTATCACTATGTTGGAGACAAGCTAGCTTTCCCAAGGCAGACGAACTTAGAGTGGTTACAATCATCTGGGTTTAAATCGCGCTCAAATTGATTTGATTTTGACGCAATATTTACACTGAAGCCAGCAGTCGTCTATGGTAAGGGGCGTGACATTTCCCGACCAGGCGCCGAGTGCTGCCAATCACAACACACACTGGCCCAGCTAACCAATCACAGCACATTTCGTATTTCAGAAGGCGGACCTTCATTTGATACAGGAACTATTTGAGCCGTTCATGCCAGACTGGAGAGAGAGGTGTTGTAATAATGTAAAATATGTGAAAAATAATGTGTTTTTCGAACAACCTAGTATGAGAGCCTGTTCTAGTACACCCCCAAAACAAAATCAAGACTTTGTAAAAGAGCATAATAGGACCCCTTTAAGGTCTTATCATGCAAAATGATCAGTCTGTGCAAGAAATGGAACATTATTTAAAACATTATTACCTCTAATCCATAGCGTCAGACAAACAGCCCTATGTGATGTCTGATTCACGAACAAATCATTCTTTTGAATTAGTTCTTTTTGGTGAATTATTTGAACCAGTTCACCAAATCGGACTGAACTGTCTGAAACAGTTCATCGCTCGAGAAGCACAGGACATAACTCAAAATGAGCCAAAAAAAAAAGGTCGTATATGCTCCTATGATGCTGGTTTTTGCCAACTCATTTACCACTCCAACATATCACTGAACTGAAGAAAGAGTTCCCACACAGACCTGATGAGCCGGTGATATGTGTATATGTGAACCAAGCACTTGAATGAAGGGGCGAAATTAAAGTTTTATGGTTTCTCATAGTTTATGTAAAAAGGTGAGCGTCAAAACAAGCTTATTCACTTTATATGCTTTAGACATGCAAAACATCCACGTTTTACATCATCATTGGGCACTTTAATAATATAATGTGTATAAGTTACATCATTGTGTGATTAAGTAAATGAACTTGTGAATTAAACCAGTTAATTAAAACGAACTAAAGAACCAGTTCGTGGAAAAGAATGGCTATTATTACAGGAAATAATAGTGTAAATAATGTTCAGTTTCCTGCACAGACTGATCGTTTCACTTCATAAGACCTCAATATATCGTCAGGAGCCATGGGTATTAATTTTGTGTTCCTTATATGCTTTTTCAAAAATGTGCAGCCGCTGATTTGCATTTAATGAATCATCAAGGTTCTCACACAGTTTCAGCTGAAAAACTACTTTACTGTTCTACTGAAGAAAAAAGTCACCTACATCTTGGATGGCCTGAGGGTGAGTAAATTAACAGCAAATTTTCATTTTGGGTGAACTATCAGTTTAAGATTAAATCTTGTGTCTCACTTGGGGTCAGGGTTCACTGCTTCACCACTGAATTCAGGTGGCATGCCCATAGATACATCACTCTTCATAGACACACAGCTGGGTTCTGGATTTCCCGCCCTTTTGGTCTGAGCAGAAACAGCTCCCTTTCTCTTCTCATAGAAACTCATTTTAGAGGCCCTGCTGCTCTTCAGAAGTGGCTGGTATTATGTCTGCAAATACATACACACATTAAAATGGGGCATAAATGTCCTGAATGTTAATATCATAAAGAAAAAAAATCTAATTAAAAGAAAGAAATTCTCAACAAGAAAATCTTAAAGAAATAGTTCACCCAAAAAATGAAAATTTACTCACCTTTAGACCATCTAAGATATAGATGAGTTTGTTTCTTCATCTGAACGGATTTGGTGAAACTTAGAATTATATCACTTGCTCACCATTGGATCCTTTGCAGTCAATTGGTGCCGTCAGAATGTCCAAAGAGTAAAAAAAAAAAGTCAATAAAAAACATCACAATAATTCACAAGTAATCCACACAACTTCAGTCCATCAATTAACGTCTTGTGAAGTGAATAGCTCCGTGTTTGTAATAAACAAATCCATCAAGACGTTTTAACTTTAAAAGTCCATCCCGTTTTCCTCTCTACCAATATATTACTTTAGAAGTGTTTTGAACTGATTCAGACGAGACAACGTTTTCACTGGAGAAAGCAATTTTATGGACAGAGGACATGTATTTTAACTGGAAGCAACAGTTTGAAGTTAAAAATGTCTTGATGGGTTTTTTTCTTACAAACAAGCAGTTTGTACTGTTCTCTGAGGTCTACTTATAATGTTATCAAGGTTTTTACATCATAAAAACATCATAATTTAGAATAGGCTATTTTCTGTCCTGTTTTGACCCCCCTCATCGGAACACTCTTTGAATAGGCAAGGCAGATTGTAGACTCGGAAGTAAACGCCCACTGACACGATTGACAATATAGACATGATACATACATAATTGTCTATATTGTCTATATTATATATTGTGTTTTTGCTTTTTTGTACATTGTCTATTTTGTATATTTTTATATTATTATTTTTATTATCTGTGTCCTGTCTTGTTACTGTCATTCTTTTGCACTGCGGAGTGTCTGTCACTAAAACAAATTCCTCGTATGTGTAAACATCCCTGGCAATAAAGCTCATTCTGATTCTTCTGCTTGGCTAAAAGTTGTGTATGTTTGACAGCCTACATTGCTCATAGATGGACGCTGCTGTGATTTAGGTTAAAAACGCATAAATACTCAGTGCATATCAAACGATCTGTAATAACAGACAAAGCAATAGTGACTACATAATAAAAACAGTTACTTGTGTGTTGCGACATTACTATCGGATCCAATATAGTCAGCACAGCATCATCTTTTAGTTTCAGTCTTTCTGAAAATCCTGCATCGAATTGTGCCTTGTTTGTAAACGAATCCGCAGTTAAATTAAGTGAACAAAGGACCAAGTTCTTACTGACGTGGTCTGGATCTTCATTAAAAATAAAAATTAATCCACTCATCAGAAGGAAGGCAATGCAAAGACTGTGTTTTTCCACAAATTGGCACTAAGGTTGTCAAAAGTACCGACTTCAGTACCAGTCGGTACTGAAATTTTAAAAAAATGTGATACCAGCATTTCTAAGCCGCGTTTATCAGTGGATCCATCAGCGGATCTCTAATATATCTGCTCATATAGATCATATAGATATATATCTGCTGATAGACGCGGCTTTCAAACGATCCCGTGTGTATCTTTGTAAGAGAACACAGAGAACACACAGAGGTGTTTAAGAATCTGCTCAACAGCGCTCAAAATGCTAGCATAAAATGCTGGTGTCATCACATTTTTTTGAATTTCAGTACTGACTGGTACCGAAGTCGATACTTTTGACAACCCTACTTGACACTGAACAGCGTCTTGTTGGCTTCGGAGCCATCTCGCCATCAGACGAGCGCCATCAGAGAATTCAAACATATAGATTTTAATCACATCCAGGGAACAAGGAAAACACACGTAGCAAGGGTAGCAAGGGTAAGACATTCACAATACCGGACACCGAACTGATAACATGGAACACTATTTATACAAATGACATGACGATGGGATGACGAGACACACCTGGGATCAATAGAACTGAGAAGGGGACACCTGGAACAAATAAGGACAGGAACGGGAAGGACCAAATATGGGCATGGAAACACATGGGGAGAAAAACAC